ATTAGTAATATATATTTTTTTTATATATAAAATTTTATTTGCTAAGAAAATTATATGACAAATAATCTATGTCACCCCTATCTTTAAATTCTATCTATGATGAAATTTGAAAATTATATTTGTATTATGATAACTATCTTCTGTCAATTAGTTGGCCTTATGCAGCTGTAACACAAGTATACTAAGTCAGGTTTTACCAATATTGAAAGCTTGTAGCATTTATGTGAAGTGTAATATTATATATATAGCACAATAAGAAAGGGTATACCCAAAAATTTGCTTGTGTTCACAACTTTAATACTGTAAAGTAGATGCTAAGTCTAAGTAAACTCTACAAAGGCATAGCAGTTTAATAGTTAAACACTGACTGCAAGTATTAGTTCTGCCATAGTGATATCTAAATCAGCTGCAAAAATGAATACAAAAGGCTCTGAGAAGTTTATCTTAAAGATAAAATAGTCCTAAGAGATAATGATTTAAACATCAAGTATAATCTCAGTGAAGTTAACAGATTTGCAAGTTCAGAGAGATTAAAGTAGAATACTAAAACAGGGATATTAGATATAGCAATTGGTAATAAACCTTTAGGTGAACTTCTTAAATAGGTAATATAGAAAAGTTATATGTGTAGTTAATTGTATGCTCTTTCTGTAGTAGTTCATTGAACCATATTTACTATTGTTAAATAAAGTCAAAAGACCCAAAAGGTCACCTTAATACTAAAAAAAAAAAAAACTGTAGGACTCTATAACCAAAAATAAGATCTAATTTATGTCTGTTTAAAAAAAGTAATATAGTAATAATTTCTTAAAACCTAATAAAACTAATTTATTACTAAGTTAATTTTTTTAATCAAATAAAAATTAGATCTTATTTTTGATTATAAAATTCTACAGCTTTAATAAAATTTTCTATATAGTTTTCTTTTTATTTTATTATAGTTGGTTTTCATTTTTTTAAGAAATACTTTAAACTGTATAAATAATATAAAATCTACTTGAATTTATTAGCCAATCAGATAAATTTCTGCCTATAAAGTAGTCAGACATTAACTTTATTAATAGGTTATTAGACTCAGTTACTAAAATTTAAACCAATATTCAGATTGCAAGTACTATCAGCTTTTTTTATAAAGAGTTATTTTCAAGAATAGATTGTAATAAAGAATATAGTTTCTTGTAACTAAAATAGTGCTTGCTAGAAATGAGCAAATTGCAGTTTTTCAAAAAATCCTACACAGAATTTATTAAATCTAGGTACTGTGCAGTTGAACCCTAATTTTGATTGATTAATAACTGTGATTAACAAAATTTTGGTTCACATTATATATAATTTTGGTCAGAGTTTAATTTTTAATTGTTTAGAGTTTGGATCTGTATAATGATAAAATTAACTTAGGAACATAGTATTCCACAGATCCAGATCTACGAAAAATAAAATCTGACAAATTCGGATCTATATTGGGATCTGATCTGGTAGATCTGTTTGGATCTGTTCGAATAATGATTGATGATTGGCTGTAAATATTATATTATAATTTGTTAATATTATCTAACTAATAAAAGAAAAAAAACATCATAATGATAATCTTTTGGAAACTAATAAGAAAAAAAAGCAGTTGATAATAAACTTTGAATGCTTTTTTTTCTTTTAAAGTAAACTTATTTTTTATACCGATCTTATAAGATCATTTCTAAGCTTTTAAATCTATAAAGAAAAAAGAAACACTATTATGAATTTTAGATTATAAAATTTTTTTTTTTTTGTCTCTAAGTCATCTAAGCTGTTTAAGCATTAAAAAAAAAAAAAGCATTTGATAATGAACTTTGAATACATTTTTTTCTAATATAAAGAACTTATTCTATATCAAACTTATAAGATTATCATTAAGATTCTAAGATTTCTAAATCTATAGGAAAAAACACTATATGTACTATGAATTTTAGATTATAGACTTGTTTAAATTTTTTTTTTTTTAGGAAGAATTTTTTTTTAAACTTTTTTTTTTGATATAAAAAGCTTTCTGTTACATATTATGATACTAAATACAGAACTTTTTTTTAAAAAAAAAAACTTTTTTTGATACCAAAGAACTTTTTAAACTTTCTTCAAAACCATTCACCTTGTAAGGCTTTTTTTTACAATGCCGATCTTGTCTACACCCTCTTATGGGAAGCCTAGTGAATCTTATAAACAAGTACTTATATATATTGATAAAGACCCTATTTACATTGATGAAAATGAAGCTGAAGTTAGTAAATTACCAACTCAATCAGAAGGTGGCAGTAAAACTATACATCCTAGGTAGGAAGCTTTATAGTATTGAAAAGATTTTAATAGACTATATTATTATCTGATATATACAGTATTTACTTACTAGTTGCTTTATATTATAGGTCTCTTGTGTGGAGCTACTTCAAAACAAAAGATGCCAGTGCAATATGCAATTTTTGTGGCACAAAATTAGTATATCAAGATGGAACTACGTCAAATCTCAAAAAACATCTTAAAATACATAGAAGTAAAGTACCTGAATTAAAAAGTCTGAATGTAGAACAAGGCAGTGTCTCTGTAATCGATATGCTAAATAATAAAGCAAATATATGTTTTAAAACATGTGTTAGAAAAAATATTCACATAATTTTAAATATAATTATATTTTATTAGATTAATGATCATTCTTGTGAACCATTTAATAAAAGTGAATTTGATGATCTTATTAAAAAATAGATCATTAAACATAATCAACCTTTTCTAATCGCTGAAGATGAAAAACTTAGATTAATTTTTAAATTTTTGGATCCTCGTGTGACAGGTATAATAATTAGTTTGAATAGAGTTTGTAAATAATAAACAAATATATAATTTTATTTATTTACAGTATTTATTTATTTATTTAATAGCACTTTCAGCTGATTCAATTAAAAGACATATAGTACATGATTTTGAAGTAGAGTGAATGAGGCTTCGAAATAAGTTGCAAAAAATTCCCAATAGCATAGCTGTAACTACCAATATATGAATAACTGATAGTGGTGACAAATCATTTATAGCAGTAACTATCCACTATCTAAATGCATCATGGAAACTTAAAAATATTTTGTTAAATTTCATTAGTATAAATGAGTCACATATAGGTGCAGTGATTTTAAATACAATGGAAGTGTGCCTTCAAGAAATAGGAATTATTCCAAAGTTGATTGCAATTACATGTGACAATGCAGCATCTAATGATAGGTTTTTGCAAGAATTTGCTTATTCTTTATCACAACTTGGCATCCAGTTCGATAGTACACAACAATCGATGCGATGCTTTAGTTATATTTTAAACCTTGCAGTGCAAGACATGTTAGATATTGCTAGAAGTAAGTTAGAAAGAGTTAGTATTCTTTTTTGTTAATAGAATAATTATTATATTATTTATTTTATTATAATTTATTTTTAATTATTTATTATTATTTTTTTAGCTACGATCATTGATTAAAAGTGTTAGGGGATCACCAAAACATCACAAAAAGTTAAAAAAAACATGCCAAATTCATAATATAAGTTAATTAAAGCCGATTTTGGATGTAAGCACAAGATGGTATTCAACATTTGAAATGTGTAATCAGGCTGTAACATTGCAAATGGCATTAGATAGTGTCACTTTAACTGAATCAGAGTCACAGTCATATGTTCTTAGTGATGATAAATAGAATAAAATAAAACTTTTAGTTAAAGTTTTAAAACTATTTAAATATGATTAGTAAATTATTTAGTAATATAATTTATTAGTTTTATATTAATAAACTTATTATATTAAATATATATGTATATAATTTTGTTTAGTAACAACCATTATATCAGTATCTGAATATCCAACATTATTGATAGTCATTCCTCTTTATCATATCTACTTAAAACGCTTGACGAAACTTAGAGAAGTAGTGATACACTACAATGGCTTAAACAAGGATATCAAGCTGTGACTACTAAGCTTCTAAAATATTGTCAAAAGACAAATATATAGCATATTTCAGCAATAATGTTAGATTCACAGCTCAAGTTCCAGTATTTTGAAGAGCTCAGATGGTCGGCACAACTTATTGATCAAATTAAAGACATGTTAGTTTATGATTTGTAATACAAAATATGTAATTAATATATTGTATTAATTTATTTTCATTACTTTATAGCATTAAAAATAAATATGAAAATCAGTATACACCTGTTTCTGATCAAGATGTAGTAAACTCAATTGTTGAACCATCTGCAACAAATATAATATTATAAATTTACAAATGAACTTGTACTGAACATCAGAATGAACTTGATATATACCTATATGTACTACTAGCAAAATCATATATAGATGTTTTAGAATGGTGGCGAATGAATGAAACTAATTATCCACATCTTTCAAGATTTGCCTGTGATTGCCTTCTGATTCCTGCTACAAGTGTTCCCAGTAAACAAGTTTTTAGTATTAGTAGTAATATGATAACTGCAAAACGAAGTCAATTAAATAAAAAGACAGTACATATAGTGATGTGTTTGCAGTCATGGTGGAAAAAACTGGATGAATCGTATGTATATAACTTTATATATTATTTTAATAGTTTTAAATCATGTAATTATTTTTAATAAGAACATATTAAAGTCATATTTGAGCAGATAACTTGTTGATTAAATAAATCATTGAAATTAAACTAGATAATACATTTGCATTAAGCAGTTGTGGAAAAACTTGTCTTATAATAAGTAGATATAAAAATTTACTTGAATATTCAAAAAAGAATTGAAGTAAATTAGATAATGCACTTGCATTAATAATTTGGCGAAATATTATTGTATAACGGCAGATATAAAAGGGAAATACTTATAGTATAGTGGTTAAAGATAATATATATATATATTACTTGCAGATTTAAACAAATTAAATTGTATACATATATATGAAGAGAAATTTCTAAAATTAGAAAATAAAATTGATGTATCTGGTGATAAATTAGTCATTTTTTTTAATTTTATTTAAATTGTAAGATTTTCTTTAAATTTATTCAAAGATATAAATATTAAGTAAAAAAAATATTAAAGCAATTATATAAATAGGTTCATATTTTAAGAAATTTAATAAGATACAATTTTTTTTAGAAGAATTTACAAATAAGAGCCTAAAAAGTGAAAATAATTACAAATATAGGCCCAAATTAAAAATAATTACATAAAAGGGCCTAATTTTAAAAAATATTACATATAAGGGCCCAAAATAACAGTGACATCATTCAAGCCTATAGCTTGATTATTATTAGCAATTATTAAGTATATACATAAAAAATGAAATGATCGATTGTAAATTAGTAATTATAAACGAGAAAAGAAATTTTTTAAAATTAGTAATTTAGTACATTAGTAATTATAAACGAAAAAAAAAATTTCTTAAATTTAATAAATTTTATTTTAACAAACCACTATAATATCAAGTAAAGCACTGCGAATTGAAATACATTTACTAATATCAAGATAATTGTTCTGCTCTTGAGAGCTACTCTGTTAAATCTTCATCATCTTATAAATAATTGTGCTAGTTTAACACTATTTTTTTATACAATATTTAAGCGAAAATGATTATAGCCAGCACTTTATTTATTTTTTTATCTAATAATTGATATCTGATAACTAAATGCCTATAATAAAACAAACAATAACTCTATAATTGCATGATTTTGTTATTGTTATAAGTCAAATGGTCATAGTACTTTGTAGCAAAGTAGTTCTGTGATCACATTTTTTATCCATCAATAGACTTAGACCTCTATATGTAATATTTTTTAAAAATTAGGCCTTCATGTGCAATTATTTTTAATTTGGGTCTGTATTTGTAATTATTTTCACTTTCCAGACCCTTATTTGTAAATTTTTCTTTTTTTTATCAGATCCGAATCCAGATCTGGATCTTTCTTATTCGGATCCGGATCCAGACTTGGATTTGATCCATTTTTTCAGATCAGATCCGGATTTTTAAAAAGATCTGTCTGATTCGATCTGCATGGAACACTACAAGAACATATTTCACTGAAGTTGAAAATTACATTTTACAAATTTACAATACATGTAATTTTATAAATATATAGTATCTAGAGATAAGCAAATTGCAGTTTCTTCAAAAATTCTACATAGGATTTATTAATTTTACTTAATAGGCAGCTATGATTTCTTTATAAAAATTCATGTAATTTTGATCATTGCCATTAGTCAATTAAAATAGTAAGATTTCATATATTTTTTGCAAAGTTTAATAACAGTATTATAGTGAGAAAGTGCATATTATGTACTTGGTTTGTGGTATTAAGATATTTCCTAGAGCAGTAGATAAATGCAATGTTGTTTAAAAAAAAAAAAAAGTATATAAAAAAATACTTAACTTTACTTTAAGTAAGATATGTTCAAACTGATTGGGTTATTATGTGTTTATATAATAATCAGTTGGGATTAAAAAATTATACAACAAATAAAATTGAATATATAAGAATCAGTAATACAGAATAGTTTGTTGAAATATGATAGTAACAATGCATAAAATATATATAATCAATATAAAAGTTAAAAGAAGTTTATAAAATTAGTAATATAGTTAATTAATAAATTATATGATTAATTATAATATAATTAATTTAGATTAAATAAGATAAATAAGAAAGCAAAATTAATAAAAAAAAGGTGAGATGGGTTTTAAATAACAGAATAAAAATAATAAAAAGCAAATAAATATAAGTAAATAAATTGAACACTTGTCTTGTTAATTGTAATTAAACCTGCTTAGGCTAGGTTTATAAAATGCTTAATACCTAAGCTAGTTTGTTTAGTAATACAAGTTATTGTTTAACTTGTGATAGTAGTAATTACATTAAGCATGTTCTTGGTTAAAAATTTCATCAAATCCAATTTTTATAAGATGATTTTAAATATTAATATTACTACTTATTTATTTTTAAAAGAGTAACTTATTTATAAAAAATATTTTTGTAATATAAGTGAAAGATACCAATGACAAAAAAGGTAAATTCTTATTATTAAAGATAAGTATGCATAAGACTCTACATATTTTATATAGGATTTTTTGGATTCCAAATAGAATTTTTAATATAATTCTAAAATAATATTATTTAGCTAGCATTATTATAATATCTGGTCTACATTAATATAATATCTAATCTGTATTAACATATTTAGCTAATTTCTAATTAAAATTTATTTATTTGCATATCATTTAACATATATGTTTATTTATATATATGATAAGAATTTATCTTTTTGCTATTCATATCTTTCACTTACATTACAAAAATATTCTTTATAATTAAGTTGCTTTTTTAAAAATAATTACATGTATAATAATAATAATTTTTGAAATCATTTTACAAAAATTGGATTAGATAAAACCTTTAATCAAGTACATGCTTAGTATAATTACTGCTATTAAAATTTGTAAAAAATAAATAAAAATTTATTATTTTGATTTATCAATGGCAACAACAAAAAATTTAGACAAAATTACTCAACTTTTAGTAAAAAAATTGTAGCTATTTATTAAGTGAAATTAGGGTTTAAAATTTGTAATTTAATGAATTCTGTATGAAATTTTTAAAAAAATCATAATTTGCTCATTTCTAGATATTATATATTTTATAAAATTATATGTATTGTAAATTTGTAAAATATAATTTTTCAACTTAAAGTAAAATATGTTTTTAAGTTAATTTTTTCATTAAACAACCCCAATATTAGACAATTAAAAAATCAAATTCTAGCCAAAATTATGTATAATGTGACCAAAATTTTGTTGATCACAAATGTTGGAAAATCAAAATTAAGGTTTAATCATACAGTATTTAAATTTAATAAATCCTATATAAATCTTATATATCATATTCAGAATTTTTTAAAAAACTACAATTTGTTTATTTCTATTTATTATATATATAAATAAACATATATGTGAAATGATATGCAAATAAAATTTAATTAGAAATTAACTAAATATGTTAATGCAGATCAGATATTATATTTATGCTAGCCAAATATTATGATAATGCAAGCCAGATAATCTTATTTTAGAATTATATTAAAAATTATATATATGCTTCTTCTCTAGTACTTGCATAGATTTCTTTTGTTTCTGGTTTTGTGCAATAACATTATGCAGCTACTTATATGATAAAGTTTTCTTAGATTGGTTAAAAATTTTTTAGATAGTACAAAATTAAAGAATTTGATTAATCTATATACATCCTTATACAAATATTAATTAATATAATAGAATATTACAAAACTAACAATAAAGAAGCATGGATACTCTTTCAAGACATGTTCAAAGCTTTTGATAAAATCAACATTAAACGTTTACTAGACGCTTGCAAATGTATCGGCATCCCCCAATCTGGACTTAATTTCATCGAACATTTACACCAAGATAGGAAAGCCAGAGCAATTACAGCCTATGGCCCTACCGACCCAATTACACTTCATTCAGGCATTGAACAAGGAGAAACCTATTCTCCATTACTCTGAAAAATCTATTATGACCCTATTCTCAGTTATATTAACTCAA